GAAGTAATCGTAAATTTGATATTTTCGACGGTGGATATACCGTGATTGATGTGTGAATAATTGTTATAATTATTCAACAAATTAGCGTTACATTTTAATAACTATTTAATTAAAAAGCGTTTCAATGTATAAACAATATTTTTGAACGCATACAACAATGTTCATAAGCACAAAATGACATTTCCTATAACAGTTTAAAGGTCTCAAACTTTTTCAGTGATTATCTTTAAGGACAAACGGTGTTAATCACTAAGCCATAGAAGACGTTACAATAATAAATAAATAACATTGAATTTTATATGCTATACTTGAATGTATAAATATGTATTTACAACTACATACATAGTATATAAATAGCAGGGCAATATGAAAGACCCGGTGAGGGTGAAAGGTGGCGCGGTGACGCACCGGCCGCGCTCTATAGCGTGTGCCGAAATCTCAGCTGTTTCACGTGACATATACAGGGCGCGTCGATTTAATAAAAAAATATTAATTTTTGTAAATAAAGTCTTTATTATATTATAATTAATAAAATTATTTATATAGTATACGTAGTCTTTAACGCTATATGTTATTGTCTGTATTATTAATAAATAAACTGCTTTAATATATAAAATGTTTAAAACATTATCAGACAAGATTGCGCTTGTTCAATGAAAGTTTAAATTTTTTAAATCATCATATATCTCATCATCAGTCAATAACCATAGTCAAGTCTCTAAGTATTTTTCTTCATTTGATTTATAAAATTAAATTCTGAACGTCCTGTATAAACATATTCAATCCATCTGTATTAAAAGTGTTTATAAAAGCGTTGAATGGCTCTGTGCGCTTTATATAGAACTCCACAGCAATGCCATTATTCAAAATTAAACTACTCACCTACCTGCAAGCCTTGGGGTTGTTCAATGAAAACGGAATATCTACAAATTGATTAAAACATACGAAAACGAACCTTAACACACAACATTTACCGTAATATATATGAAAAACAAACTTTATTACTACCTATGAAAGTTCACATTCAATTGAAAGCTAAAATAAGAAATTCACCAGTAGTTACGGCATTTTATTTTACAAGCCGAGCAATGAATGGGGGAGACCCATAACGTCATATTTTTGAAAGGGCGATTTTGAATTAAATTAGTCTGGGTTCTCTTAGGGACCGAATGGCTGTTACGACGTTTTTTAGAGTATAGTTTCTCGGTGCAGATGTGCGATTCGGGTAGAGACATGTGATTCTGCAAGCGCAGCCGGCTGGCATAGCTGTGCACTGATTCAATGCATTGCAGGGTCTACGGTCGCGGCATTGTCTAGTTTTATATATGAAGGTAAGCTCAACAAACAATGATATGATACAATAACAATAGCAGATATGGCTCAGGTGTGCGAAGGTTGGGTACCGATCAAAGTAAAAAATCTATCTTTGTGCAAAGTCAAACGTTTAGGACGGTGTCTTCAAAATCATCCCTTGATATCTATGTATTCGTTGGTATCAGTCAAAAACAATTGATGTACCATAGACAAACTGCTGGGAACCGTTCATGTTTATGTTCATACATTGACCAACAACGGCGAGATATCTTATCTAGCTCTATGGGTACACAATATACATGTTGTAGTAAATAATACAATAATTATAATCGCAACATTCTCGCAGTTACAGACTCGACACCTAACTTGGCCAGATTTTGTGTGTGGACAATTCTAATGTACTTATGAAACGTACAAAACTTATGTTACGTATGGAATCTAGAAACTTGAGAAAATTTAATTAGTTTTAAATTTACCCTAAAATCATAAATCCGGAGAATTCATCTAAATGTCGTTGATACCAGTAAAACCGTTTACTTATTTCTGTAACATAAAAATGAAACATGCCGCAAATGATGAACAAATCCTAGCCGCGAATTTCACGTTCTCTCGTTATGATAAGTTTATAAGCTTAAAGCTTATGAAAATAATTTATTCATTTTATTACGGAATTTATAAAGCACATATACTAATAGATAAAGAGCTTGCGTATTAAGTATTCACAATTTAAAATGTACAAACACAACACAATGTAATTTTCAAGTCGAGCACTGAAAGTCGGCGCTGCGCTGCTATATTTCTGTGTCTATATTATGTCTTGGAAACATGTCAAATGGAATGTCATGTGGGCTTGACAGATGAATGTGAAAAATGTTTAAGTACTTACTAACGTGATTTTATAACTAAATTCAGTATCTGGGTTGAAAGAAATAAACAAATAAATAATAAGATCGTGAATTTCAGATAATTACTTATTCCCGAATAACAATTTTAACCAATAATGTGAGGTTTAAAGTTGACAGACATTTTTATTTCTGAATGAGTAAGACAGCTGGTGTAAACCACAGCCTAGACATTTTTTATATTACCACGTAATTACTAAAATGTAATAATAAATGGCTGTGATTACATATTAACCGGCAATAGTGACATTGAGAGCGCGCACCTGCTCACGCGCCCCTGTCCATCGGTATTTCCGCCATAGCGCACGTCCCCTATGCGCGTGCCCGACCGTTACGCACGCGCCCCCCACCCCCCCGCACCAACACCTGGCTATACCAGCCGTCCTTTGCTCGCGCATTGTGATGACACTCTATTTGACACCACAAAGATATGTACAGGACAACACGTCATATATTTAATGGCTGAAATTCACAGAATCGTCTTGCAACCATATCGAAGTTTGTTAATAGAATAAAACTAGCAACTACCCGATTATTTGGATTTGGAAACCAGAGTGCCGTTTTGTTGTATAAACGATACATGTATCTGACAAAAACATGTCGTTATGTCATTAATAAAAATTAGTAAAATCTATAATTAAGTCAGTTTTAGGGTAAGATTCAGAAACCGCACTTGGCACTCTGAATCTTGAACTTTTAAAATGTATTCGATTTTGACATAGTTCACGCTGTCACGTTTCTGAATCTCACCCTCTGTTCTTTATAACAGTTCTACCAACATTACTGTACGACACATAAAGATAGATTTAGGTCTAATTACACCATTAACTAGCCAAACACCTTTTGTCACCATATCATTAACAACAAATGTTTATATTTATTTACATCGCCTTTGTTTACGTTTCCCAAGTGACTTTTGATAACAATTCATTCATAACACAATTAAGTAATGACATTGATTATCAAGTGTTGAAAGTTAACAACATAATCTTATAATGACTTTTCATTTCCCGTATTGTTATTGTGAATTGATCTTTTGATTAGTCACAGTTGTGTGTTAATCGAGCAATTGATGTCCATGTCGATCCCTTGACGTAGCTGAGTCATTACATTTCACCACATATGGCCCTCGTCATCATGACGAGTTTGCAGTTTCCTCTATATCCTTGTGGGCTATAGCTATCGTTCGAGAGCTATAGTTCAGATAGTATGGTGAACATTTTAACATCTACCTATACTTTTTGTTTTTGCTGGGTATTTGTTTCCAACAAGCTGAAGCTTTACTAACTAAACTTGTAAAATGCATTAATTAGGTCTGTATGTAGATTTTATATTTATTCATCTGTCATCTGAAAGGACCGCTCGCACCAACAAAGCTTTCTACCAGAGAGAAATAATGCAATATCAGGAATATTTGTGTTTATATTTTGTTTTTATGTTACGTACAATTAATTGGTCTTTGCTGCTTAGTTTATTTTTTATGATAAATCATTTGCAAGTGCCACATTAACGTATATATTTAGTTTGGGTTAAAATGCAACATGCAAAATAAAAACCAGTTCCTGTGAGAATCCACAAATAAGCCAGGGAACATGGTATGTGGGAATTCACACTGGTCGCAGAGAATACAACAATGGATTTTGGACGTTATACTTCCGTGTTATGAAGGGGTTGATTTCCTTGTTTCTCTGAACAAGTTCGAATGAGCATAACTAGTTTTCAGCATTTCCGGTTTGATCAGCTACTGTTACTTTGCTTAGCATGACGCTCTTACATGCTGTAATGGATTTGGTTTAAATATAATTTTCATTAACATTATTAATATACTCATGAAATAATCGTAACAGCGCATAGAAGGCATTCCAAACCTGGATTAACAATTTTCATTATTTTTCTATAGATAATGCAACTTAAAACTAGTTTTGCTAATCCATTAGTAATATTATATTTATTAAGACTTTGTTGCATTGACTACATAGGTAATAAATTATTAGGGAAGTAACGGGCCTTATCGATTTTTATACTGTTTATATTTACAATTTAGTATTTACTTAATATATACATTAGTGATTTCCGGTATAAGAAGCATTCATAACTTGCCCTATTTTCTCACCAGTTCTCGCCATGATTACTTTTGATAAACGTACATACAATAAACAAGAAATGTAGAACACTATCTAAACGTCCGACAGACATGCCTATATGACGTATGAGGCGTGGATTTTATTGCGCGTTCAGCAGATTTATTGGGTTTGAATTGTGAAATAAATGTAGGTACTTACTCGATTGTCACGGTCACGGACAAATTTATTTTGATATTTATTAATGATGTTAATCTTAAAAATATACAACAAACTGTTGTATGTTTCTGATTCTGGTACTTACGATATTGTTCCCGTATAGAGTTTATCGAATCATAAAAGGAAGATGTAATGAGGCCAAGGTAAATAACGAGGCTCTCCTTTATGCGTTAAGTTGTTATTACTTTGATCATGTCTAATGTGTGTCATCGTTGCCTTTTTTGCTGAGTACAAATATTATTATGACTTAGTTTCAAAGATTGTTATTTTAATTCATGAATGAGTAATTTCTAAACAAATTTGTTCAATACTCAAACTCGTTCCCGTTAAATAAAATGTAGTTTCATAAATACTTAAACAACGCTGAGCTTGCTTAATGAATTGAATTTCGAATTTGAATAATAAATGCAACGCGACGGCTGTTTCGGTATTATTAATCTGACGGGACCGTTTCACAAAGATGTATAGCTCAGTTCAAAGGTGCTTAACCCCAAGTTGCGCAAAAAATTAGATCGTTGGCGACGATTCCGACCGGAAAGTTGATGAAGCTGAGCATATCGCACGACGTTGCCGGGTGCGGCGAGCCGGGTGCGGTGTGCAGGCGCAGGTGCCGCCCCCCCTCTCTTCCCGGCCCCGCCCCGCCCCTGCGCGATTGGACCCGGCGCACGTGCGAGCCTTCCCGCTGCCACCTGGCTGCCGCCGCCGGGGAGCGCTTATAAGCCGCGGGGCCTTCCCTCACCGCATCACTTCGTGTTCCGACCTCGAACAGTGCACACGTCATTTGAGTTAATACCAGTTTTACGACTCCCGCGCAACTGTGATGAACGGATTGTGAATTAGTGATTTAATTAACTATTTTAAAGATTAAGTGTTTGTGAATTGTGTGAAGATGCTTGTTGAAGATCAATCGGCTCGTGCTATGTTGACCAAGAAGTACGCGCATTGTCCGCTGAAGAAGCGGCCGGTAATGGTGCGGGAGGAGCGGCCGGCGACGCCGCCTACCACACCGCCCCACCCCGCCCACATGCCCACCAGACTTTACTACGATTACAATCATTGTAAGTATTTATTTTTTACATAATTGACCTATATTTACTGACATAACTTTTACTATGTAGCGTCAAGTTTAATCCAAAATAAGAAAAATATTGTCCTAATAATTAAGTTATGATCAGGTTTAGGATTATTGATTCCAACATTTTAATAATGTTGCTTATAAAAATCAATTCAAAATAGTATTTACAAAAACTCTTCTTTACATGTTTTAGATAAGAGTTAAAAATAGGTCGTTTTAAGTCTTAAAAAAAATCTCTCAATAAAATCTATAGAAAACCTTCAGACAACTCAAACTAAATTACGTTTTTTTTTGTCATCAGGTGATATGGAAAATGATGAACCACAAAATTTGAGCACTAAACCAGAGGATTTATCCAAGACTGGGAATTACCCTAGCAAAGCTTCATCACCAGTAGCAGCCGCTGCTGTAAAGTTGGAGCCACGGGAATGGTCCCAACAATTGGAGTACTTGGCAGCTTGTCGTGCTCGCCTGGAGCCCACTGAGCTCGCCCGACCCACGCCTCACTATCCATACCTGCCCACACTATATCCCACATATCCCATGGAAGATCTCTACCCCGCCGCCCCCGCACTATCCCCGCCAACGCAAATGTACTCGCGGTACTCTCCAGCGTCACCTCCATCATCATGTTCACCACCTCCCTGTCCGGAAGACTTACGTTCCCCTGGATCTGTGTCATCAGACTCAGGAGTATCAGTATCAGCTCCCCGCCGTCCACGCTACCAATGCCCCGACTGTGCAAAATCGTATTCCACATACTCAGGGCTCTCCAAACACCAACAGTACCACTGCGCTGCAGCGGAAGGAAGTTTAGCAAGAAAATCATTTAGCTGCAAATACTGCGCCAAGGTTTACACATCCCTTGGAGCACTGAAGATGCATATCAGGACACACACATTGCCGTGTAAATGTCACTTATGCGGCAAAGCGTTTTCAAGACCCTGGTTACTACAAGGACACATCCGTACTCACACTGGGGAGAAACCATTCTCGTGCCACCATTGCCGCAGAGCATTTGCAGACAGGTCGAATCTACGCGCACACCTGCAAACTCATTCTGATGTTAAAAAGTACTCGTGTTCCGGATGCGGAAAAACATTTTCAAGAATGTCCCTCCTGAGTAAACACTTAGAAGGCGGATGTGGCGCACCAGCTACATCACCATATGAATACAGACCTGAAACCCTTCCTACGGGTCACCCTCACCAAGCTCTTACGGCGACGGCCCCGGTCCACGTCTATTAAGAAAGACTCCGTTTAAATTCTGGATCTCGAATTTGTAGTTATTAGCCGCCATATTTAATTTAATTTATTTTGTAAATTTCTTTATAAATTATTAATTTCATAAATTACTATGATGATGAATTATATGTGTGTTTTACGACGTAGTATAAGGTATATTAAGTTTTTAGTTTTAAGTGAGTCACTGTACAGTTCTTGTCGCAAGTAGCGACATCGCTAGTCATATGGCATTTGCCGAGTGTCATACACAAAAATTAGATGTATACTATATATTTGTAATTTAAGCCGTGTACAAAGTGCCTTAATTATAAATTATTAATATATTCAAAAAATTGTTTGCGTTAGATGCTATTAATTTAATAAGATTTATGAAGATGTATGAGGCTCTAAAGATAATCTTGCCGGTTTGCGTTCCTTTCCGTTACCTCCGCCAGAAACAAATTAAAAAAAATATTTAATAAATCGTAATTTCATTTCACCTAATTCCCATTACTAAGTAAACTTTAACATGAGAAAGAAATAAAAATCCTTAAAACAAGACTACGTAAAATGCAGAACTTTAAAAAAAAATATAAATTAAGCGTTACAAATAACACAACATATAATTAAGAGTAATATTACGTAATGCAACAGTAAAGGAATACTTTATAAAACTTCAAGGCCGAAAACCTTTTGTTCATTTCATTTTTCTATTATCATTGACTCATAAGAAAGTGGTCCAATAAGATAGGAATCTACTCTGTATTAACCTTCGACCCTGTCAAGTTAGCGCACGTTTTTCTTATACTCACTGTAATAGCAGATATTCTATCGAAATACTGCAATTGATTTTATCACTACCAATTCCCTTTTACAAAAAAAATACCACCTACTTAGTCGTTAATAAATATATAATCTAAAAGTGCGATTTAAACATTAGTCATTATGTTTATCAGCCTTAAAATAATGAATAAGACTAATGTATAAATGTGCATGCCCATTGGTGAGGAACTTTTAACCGGAAGTGTATCTAGAGAATTCTATCTAAAATAATTTATACAAGATAAAAAATCGCTTAGAAAAGTATAGCTTTTACGATTTTAATTAATTAATCAATGGCGTTACAACCTTTTTAGGTCTGGGATTTCTGTATCTGTTTCATGATCATTTGTCTATCTAACAGGCAAGTTGGTGATCAGCCTTCTGTGCCTGGCGCACGCCCTAGACTCTTTTTTTGGGTCTAAGGCAAGCCGGTTTCCTCACGATGTTTTCCTTCAGCGTTCGAGCGAATGTTAAATGCGCACATAGAAAGAAAGTCCATTGGTGCACAGCCGGGGCTCGAACCTACGACCTCAGGGATGAGAGTCGCACGCTGAAGCCACTAGGCTAAGACTGCTCTATTATTTATTATGATTTTAAAGCTGATTAAATTCTAAAATTTATGATGAATGCTAAAGATACCAACAATCGTTTTTATTTTACCCATACGTATATGTATAGTATATATATATGCATGTGGTAGATGTATAACCGAAACGGCAAATACGAAACGGTTTCCGTACCTTCTTAATCCCGGGATTGGAATACAGGACATCTAATCAAGCGCTTGACCGAGTGAATGTTATAAAGATATATCAATCTAGGCTCTTTATAGGTCTGCAATTTATTATTTAACTGTCTTAATTAGATATAATTATCCTAGAGTGGTACTGTGGTTTATTAGCTTTCTGTTTTATGCTTTTATTATTACCTACTTTACGAACTTCAATAAACCAAGTGAAAAAAAACTAAATTAATGAAACATTAGCTTGGATTATATAATCTGTGTATCAATACTGACATAAAACATTTCTGCGCCTGTTTTATTTCTATTTTTGGCAACAATGTGTGAAGTCGATTGCGCCTGTCATACGTTATCGATTTTTAGGTCTAACATTCCAATTAACTCAAAATATTTTCTTTCAAAACATTGTTAATTGGAACATAGAAAGAATATTCGTTGCTGTGTAGGAGTGCGAATGCGCGATATATTAGTTTGAACACTAATCTATCAATGCTAAAAATATAAACAATAATTAAGCAGTAATACCAATAATAGTCAATTTAATTATACAAAAATATAATTTTTGTGATCCACAAAAGTAAAACACGCAACCAATAATTATTCAATTAGACTTCCCAAACAATCGTAAAAGCGTCAACGATAACTGTAATTAAAGCACGATGAGGCATTAGTAATTCATCCGCGGACGCGGAAGGTGTAACTAATGCGTTGTGAGATTACGTTAGCTTGTAAACGAACAGAGAATATCCACATCAGCCTACACGAGTGCCAATTAGAAATAGCCAGTGAAGTTGTTTAGGCAACCATCGCGATTGGCCTCCGCCGACCACCGGTCCGCTAGAGACACCACGCGCGCGCCGACCAATCCTATGCATTCTCATTACTCATTAATTAATTCTGTTCCTGCATCGTGATTATCTTATCCGAGATTGACCATAGATATGCCGTACCAATTAGAATTCACACTTATCTAATAGAACTTTGAACTTTTCTATTAGTTATAACCGATCGACAAGATAAATTTCAACATTTCGACCTCGATTTTGAATAGCATATTGTCTATTTAATTATTGCTTGTCTATGACAATCGTATTACGTTATGAGAGAACAAAAGCTTAAGCTTAATTTGAAATTAAATTAATTGTATAAGGTTATTTAGGAAATGTTGTGGTTATATTTAGGTCTGGGCAGCGGCAATGGACCAAGTCGAACCAGGTCGATAAGCATGATTTGTAACGTCGCACGTCGGCGCGTGCGCACAAATAAACGTGATTTCAATGCGCACCTTTCAATACATTACCTAACCCACTCTCGATAATATGACAATGTAACAATTTACAGTCTTCTTAAACTTGAATTTGACATTGTATGTAACTTAATGATATTTTCTTTGTTGGTGCACAATAGGGATTTCAAAATAGTAAAATATTGTGAATCATTATTATTTAGGAGCCAATTATATGTTAGCATATTGTCACGTGTGCTCATTATCAAAGTCTTAAACAAAACGAAAACCTGTCGAACGTGATCTTCGATACAGTATTTACATAGAGAAGTAATAATACAATACATTATACGAGTATAGAGGAGTATAAACACTGAAGTTATGCGTTGGAGTGCCAGTTATGCACAGACTTTTTCTCTATAAGCGCAATTAAAACTTTCTCATATAATGAAGGGAAAAATTGAAGATGCGTAATAGGTGATTAAGAAAAAATATCACGAATGTTAAAATCTGAGACTAGGAGTTGTTTCATTTAATATTTTTATTGCATATTATTAACATATATTAAGCAATCAATCAGGTAACATAAATTATTAAGGAGGCCACAGGCAGCCTTATCGCTAACAAGACATCTCTTCCAGGCGTCCCTACTAAACTACTAAGTGTAAGGATTCTATTTCTAGAAATAGAAATACTAAGTGCACGGCATAACTAATTTAACATAATAATAGTTTACCAAACATCTAAAATAAAAGAAGCTAATCTTAAGAATCATTTAATAAATTGATTCCAAAATACAATAATAATAATTACAAAAGTCATGTTACATGAAAAGGTTAAAATGTGTTCATTTAGAAGACTTTAAGAGAGGTTTACTTAACTTACGTGAAGTAGAAAACAATGCAAATTATTAATAAACAAATGCAAATGTCGCCAATATGGTTGTGGTATTTCTTAGTATAATTTCTTTTCTTCTAAGCCACCTTTAAATTCATTATCTCGCGTCTACGATCTCATACACGATAACCTAATTATTCAGATGAGACAAAAGAGAATGCCTCCTTAAATTCCAATCTCAAATCTAGTAACACGGTTATAGGAATAATTTACATAGATATCTCGAAGTTATTGTTTGCGAGAAATGAGGACGACATAAATAATAAATATAACACGATAAAGTTATTGTTAATTTGCTAGTTATATCTGTATGTTATTCTAAATATTTTTAACGGCAGGCTAAATGAGAAATATAATGAACTTCATTTGGGGTTATAGATATTTATGTGATGGGTTGTAAAAAAAACAATGGTGCTTCAACCTTTTAAGTTTTGATCTCAGATTTCTATATCTATTGTTTATTCTAATAGGCAAGTAGGTGATCAGCGCTCCCTGTCTGACACACACCGTCGCCTTTTTGTGTCTAAGACATGCCGGGTACCTCACAATATTTTTCTTCATCGTATGAGCAAGTTAAATGTGCACATAGAAAGTCCATTGGTGCACAGCCGGGGATCGAACCTACGACATCAAGGATGAGAGTCGCGCGCTGAAGCCAATAGACCACCATGTTCATCTTAAAATAATCCTAAGTAATTAAACGGAACTGAGCGTATTTGATATTTTATTTTAGAAATACGCCTGCTCCAAAAATCATTTGTGATGATTAGGAAGGTTTTTAAGGAAATGTATTTTGTCTATTAGTTTTTATTCTGACACTAAGTTTTCGCCTGACTTTCAAGCAAAACGCTACGGCCTTTTCCCTTCGATAAATCGCACAATCCTGAACCAATAACCACAGCAAGTCAGTGAGGAATGGGCCCGAGAGCGCGTGGGCGGCACCCGACGCGCTTCAACGCCTTTGAAAAGATTATTCACTGGTAGCGATGCTTTGCAAAATCACGTAAATGGATTCTGATACTTTATGTGCCTAAGCTTCTTGCTGTGTTTTCAATAAACTTACCGGAGACTACTTTATTGATAAAGGTATCGCATATTTGCGTACAACGTATTTTAAAATGTACGTGCAAAAGACATCGACGCGCTTAATGCTAATTTCCGTGAACATATTTCAAGCGCCCCGGTGGGTAACAGGGTCACAATTTTCAATTAAAGGTTTTGTATTCTAAACACTGTAAGTTATGATATATATTGTTTATGTCGTCTTTGTAGTAGCTTCGTTAAAGTATGAAATAAGGCGGAAGTCTTCCATAACTCCCGTTATTCATATTTTACTAATAAACTATACTTTTATACCTAAACAGAGAATAACTCGTAACAATAAAACGTAAATTAACTTTCTTCTTGATACAATCAAGTTTTTGAAATAAAACCGATATAAAACGCTCGTTATTTATGTTGCTCTGACATTACAGTGTTTTAAAATAGAGGGCAATAAAATTAATTTCTCGTTACTTGCCATATCGGTATTTGTATCGGGATTGTTAGCGCGAGCGCGGGCGTTAATACAATAATCCTGAGTATAAAAATTAACCGGTATAACGGTGCTCCGCGTAGGAGGCCGCCGCATGCGCACCCTCACCTCTTCACCTCACCTCGACCGATCGACCGTGCTTGTATTCGCGTATTATTATATCACAGCCTTGTGAAATTACATTTGTAGCGTTTATTTTGTTTATTAAAAAATAATTAATAATCAAATATTTTTTAAGCACCCTGCCAATTCGTAAACCAGCATTGTAAGTGCGTTTTTTTTACGGTAATTTGGTCCTACAATTTGAGACGTATGAGTATAGTTTTATATTCTTCCATATTATGAAATAAATTCTTTTAAACACAGCATTCATTAATATATCTGTTATGAAATCATTCCTCTTCAATCATTCCACTCGGATCATGTAACGATGGATACGTTTTGTGTCCAAACCCACGCTCATCAATAACGCAGGATATGACCGAATTAAACGAGTTTATTACATGAAAGTTAAACGTTTTATTACATTCCGTTTTACTTTCTTTTCATATTGTATCGGGTGGTTTTAACTTAATCATATCAATTAAATCGCACTGCAGAGATGCGATTACCAAACTGTGTTTATTAGGAGAAATCAGCTAAAGAACACACTCTCATCGTTAAAAGCCATTCGTTAAAAGCGTACAGTAAAATCTGTAACAAGCTACGTAATAAATGCAATAACAATGAATAAAAATGGCAATAATAGCAGGTGAAATCGCGACAGGTCCGGCTCTCGGGTCGTCGCCCGTAATTATAAATAAAACACGACGGCGTGCCACGGCCGATACAGAATCCTTTAGCTCACTTTATATCTATTCATACAAATAACAATGCTAGGCTGCTTTCCGAAAGTCACACTCTTTACTCTTTCTGATTTTATCAGTTTTACTAAATGTAACGTTATCATATTTTATGATCTTACATAATTTGATTACTACATTTATAATTTCAATTGTAAATTTGACAGCAAATTTATTAGTGGTTAGTTATTTTTTATTTGAGACAGTTAATTTTGAATAAAATATTCTAAGTTTACCATCCGTATATTTGAGTTTTTGTTTTGACGTTAAAAGAGTGACGAAAAAAAAATTTGTATATGTTTAAACTACATAATTGTTTCATAAATAGGGCCTAGTTTATTGACAGCTCCTCACGTGATGTCGGTATGTGTGTGCGTACAACTTCTATGGCAAACTAATTTTTAACTCTTGTTCATATTTGTACAAATCTAAAACTAGATTTCCGAGACTTAGAGGGAGGGAAAAAGGAAGATATGTTAGGAATTTAACTGTCATTTAAATATTAATAGTGTCGAAAATTAATACAAATAATAAATTTAATTTTTTAAATCTATTTCTTCGATAATAAAAACACATGGCATTTTAATTTACAATTCGTTATTAGAGATTTCAATAAATTGTTTTGCATAAAATAGAAAATAGTAATATTTTATAAATTCTCTTTACGAAAGTTTAATTTTAAAAATAGAATTTCTATAAGGTAATTCGCCCTTCTCACTCTTTCTTAATCGGTCTCAATCGCTCTCTTCCTTTTCTTCGGCAAAAACGCTGCACATCTTCGTGGCGATCCGTAAAATTTTTACCCTCATGCGCCTAAAGAAGTGTCACTTCAAAATACGTTTCAAAAATAGTAAGTTTTTGGACATTACTTTAACTTTGTGTCAACAGTATTATGCTTAATTTAATACAAACAATCTAAACCCATAAATTACTAAACGCGTGTTAGATGATGCTAATTTTCAAATTTTAATTATCAACATGACCATCCGATGGCCTTATCTTTACCAACTGTCGTGTGCAGATGACGGTTAGTGTTAGTAACATTATTGTAAAAATGCTGAATTGATAGGGGTAGAGGGTGCAAAGCAGTAGACCGTGGATCAACGTACCGACACACTTCATGCACGTGCCTTTAATTGTAAGTCTTATTTATTAACTAGCTTATCCGTTGCATTGGATATATCATAGAACAATTGCAAGCGGTCGATCACGCGCTGCGATAGAACAGCTCACCAAACTAGGAATATCTTAGACGTCGAATGTTATCACTGTTTTATTTTAAATGGAAAATTTTTGTTTTAGTACGAAGTACAGATTACGTTTCCTATATATAATTGAGCAACGAAACAACCAGAGAATATATCTGCACTATACTTAGCTTGAAATTGGGGAATAACAAGACTTGCATTTGGTTTATTTCGTCCAAACATATCTGGGAAGCTTACAGGTATCCTATTTCACTTGCGGCTCGTATTATGCACTCGAATACGAGTCAAAGTTAAATCCGCCTATGAGAACTCAAACTATTTCCTTATAAATTAGAGAACTGCCCTGCGATTCTGTAACTCACTTTTCGAACTCACACAGCGGTTTTCGGTCGCTCTCAAATCAGTCGTGAAGCAGTAATTTTATGATTTGGCTTTCTGAAAAGCTGGAGTTGTAGTTTATTTTTATCACAATGCCAAATCATAAAATTACTGCTTCACGACTGATTTGAGAGCGACCGTGAAAAGTGAGTGAGTTCGAAAAGTGAGTTAAGAATGAGGGCTTGTTCCTATAGTGCTTAAAACAACGTTCGTTTAGTAAGCCTAATTGGTTTTGGATCCAATTATGACAATTCTAATTATAGCATTTTTAACAATGTAGCGAAACGTTTGAATAGATAAAAGTCATAGACACAGACGTCCTAAACAGTGACTTGCGTAATCTGTTGAGGTCTATGATAACCTTTGCCTGTCCCGCGTAGGCGATCTAGTTGTTTGTTCACTGCGGCCACCCAGAGGGTTTATATTATCCTATATTTTTGTATCACCCACTATTAAATGTTGCACTAATATATTTTTATTGCTTACATAAACTATTGGAACCGATACAATACCATAACTTATTAATAGCTTTCTATTGATTTGTTTTACCTGTTTTGCGCTTACAGTTGTAATTTTAGAATGTTTATCGCAATTTATATTTATTATAAATTGCGATGACCTATAAATACCAATAGTAAACTTTAAAACACCATTTTTGCATATGTCTCATTTGCCTCTTTTGCTAATACGATTGATCGCGTTCGATGTCTACTAATATAGCATGTTACAATATAGTGGAAGACAAATTGAAATTCCATGCAAACATATGGTGATTGTCAGTCGTCATGACAACAGGACAGTATGGTCGTCAGGTGCCGGCCACGCTCTATGGGCAGCAGCAAGTGCAGGCACGGGTGACCGCGGGGCGGTTGGCAGTTGCACGCCCGCACGAGCCTCGACAGGTGGATGTCACGCGCGGGTGCTTTGCACCCGTGTATGGTCTTAGACAATTAGTTTCAAGGACTAAAGGATACTTGAATCATAGACATTTAACAAAATGTTTTCTTAAAATTGTGTGTGTTCAAAGACGAATAAACGGGTACCCTGTCCTGGGTACTGAATGTTATTGCTGCATATTTTACAACTTTTAAAAAAGCATCTTCATTATTTGTATTTTAGTTTGAATATAATTATTAATTTATTACTTTAATTGCTGTATTAGTTATAATTAACTGTTACTTGTTATGATAGAAAGTAAGAACAAGAAGCTTGTTAAAATGTAATAATTCAGACTGGTATATGTGGTATAACCACAAAACAAAATCTAAAAGTATACGTTTGTTACCAAATATGGTTTTATTTTAAACGGATATTATGTCTGATAATTTTTTTATTTAAATTGAGATGATTTTATATTCATCACAAATCATCATCAACATGTTGAAATAAGGTCAACATTTACTTATGAAAATATGTTATAGAAAGGATATACATTATACACGTGTAAAAATGACATGAGAATTCAGGAAGTGCTAACTAGATTCAACTGCCTTACACTGACCGCAATATCGCAGCATACAAGTCCCAAAGTGGACTCTTTATATCGAAGAAGTCGCATGGGGCCGCCAAGCATCCGCGAATATACAATGTACCTGTATCTACTTGATCGATGTTATTAAGACATTCGTTTTGTATAGTGTTAACGTTAATACTATCATTTAAAACTCTATATCATTAAATTTAGTACCACCTACACATATAATTTTGTAAGTTAACTGTACATCAATGCAGGACGATAAATCAATATAAAAGTACGCATCTTAAGGTGCATAAAGAAGGATCCATTAACCTCGGGAAATGGGAACGAATAACTTTGTAGGTATTACGAATATGAGCGTTGAATAAATCGTGAATTTTTCTGACAAGTGCATTTGCGTTTTAGGGTTTTGATGGGCTGCATTATCAATCAATTGGTTGGCGCGAGCGCACAGGAGCCGTGTCTTTTGAGAGCTTCGACCTCACGCACTCACAATTTACAGCTTTATCGCCCGTTATTATTCTTAATAACACCTCGCCACTCTCCATAACAACGCATTAACCTCATCAAAATTCACTAATTTTTAAAAATGTAATGTTACTTCAAAGGCGAACGCGATAAATGGTTATCGAGAGCTTTTACAGCGTAAAATCTCGAAGCTTCAAGGGTTTTTGGAGCAAGATCATAATTCATTTTATATGAAAACGATTTAGTGCATCTTTAATCTTTAGATCGTAATCGGCCGTGTTTGCAAAGACTTAAATTTCTCGGATGAGTACAAAAAACTGTTTAAAACTCATTTCGTCTCCGTTATGAATCGATAAGAGCGTGAAGTTTGGTAATTGGTAATGTGGTGGGTGACGGACTTTTAAGATGAATTCTAAAATATGCAATTTAAATTACGGAAAATAATTATACATATAAGATTTTAACTGTTACTTTAAGAACGTTGTGTGTACGATTCGTTACAGTGAAGTCTCCTGTCTAACAGTGTACCAAAAAGACTTAATTAATTCGTTATTAAACATATAGCGGACAGACATTACACCACTCTGAGAAATAGAAAAAAAAATGGCGAGTTTTATCAACGATACATTTTTGTTTGTTGTTAATTATTTAACTTTCGTTTATTTATTTTATCGTTATTACTATATTTATTAGATTTGGGTTATTGATTTAATCTAGTGATAAAATAAAAGCAGAGCATATTTTTTCAAAATCCAATTGATGATTTATATCTGATAGTTATAAAAATATGCAGCATAGTTTAAAAAACGAGTATCCTGTAAGAAAATTTTGCCCACTATAATACAAAATGTACTTCCTGGATGGGGTTAAAAATGTCATCGTGACTAGCTAGCGCAACGATGTGACAATATAGAAGGTTTTAACCCTATCCAATAACTTGCCTATGAGTCAAATGTGTATGAAGTAAGTGTCGCATTTCTTAGTAAATCGTGGCGAGTGTCAGTGTCCATTACGCGGTAATCAATCATCGCTTACAGGTTTCAATCTGCGTTTACGTCGCTTTGACCGTACGAAGCTTTCGACGCGGGCGCAATCAATATAACAGATAATACGATAAGATCCGTCGAGCCTCGTCGCCCGGGTATGCGCCCGCGGCTTATTTTATAAACGTCTTCATCGTACTACATATTTTGATTTACTATGAGTGTTTGGATGTTTTAAAATGGTATTACATCTTGTAGTCGATAGTTTTTTAGACATTTGTTTTAAACGAATTCAATACAAACGTCCAACGACCTTGGCCTTTATGACTTCCGATTTCTTGGTCCATTGATTGATTTTCATTGATTCAATTAAAATAAATTTGTGGTTGTATTTTGGATGATTTTTAATAATGATTTTCTTAAAATTTCCATTTCATACAAACAAGTCTTAATTGCGACCATATAAGAAATACATTCAGATATATATTTATGTAAAGAGAATGATCTCTTTAATTTGAATATTCGCGCGCACTGCTAGTTCGTGAGTGAGCCGCGTCGTGTCACGTCAAGCTAGCTGACATTGTCAAAGATGTAAAGGGCAAATATGCTGAGATTGTTGAATTGTATTTTAATCTTATTTGTAAATTAATTTAATACTTAGTTAAGCTATATGCATCGAGAGGTGATAACAATGAACTTTTATTGTCGTTTCTTTATTTACAGGTAAGATTGTGTTAGTCTTGTAAGGATTGTATCAGTGTGTAACCTACTCGATAAATAAAATTGCATTCTTTATTTACAGAGAAACAAATAGAAGTTTTATTTAGCCTCTTGCTTGCTATTGAAATACAGACTATTGTCTTATAAAACGACAATACTTGTTTATAATGGCACAAAAATTGCAGTTTGCATTTAAGCTTGAAGCATCACAAACTGACAATAAGACGAGTGTAATTGCCATAACCTCAATTACAACAGAAGATGACAAAAAGTATACACTGTCTGAGACTGATAAATACGCGAGTCGTCACATAGCATTAACAAAAACAGAAACCTACAAAAGAGTGAGAAAAAGTTTAAATCAAAGAGGTCAAGAAAGAACAATATGGATGACATGTACAGAAGAAATGATTCAAGCCTATTTTGATGAAGATAATAATTTAATGTTTAACGACCTATATTTAAAAGAAGAAAAAAAACAAACAGATATTGTAGAATCCACACAGCAGAAAAAGGGTCTACTAAATTTGAAAAATATATCAGAAAGATTCATGATTGAGAAATTTGTATGTAAATTCTCAAATGCGAAACAATGGATAGAAATATTCGAGAATGAATGTAAACGATTTGAGATTGAGGAAGATACAACAAAGATAGAAATATTAAGATTATTTTTGGACAAAACATGTGCAGATTGGCACTCGGCAACATTGAAGACTTTGAAAATCGAGGCTGGATGGTCCGAGTGGAAAAATAAATTTTTGGACACATTTGCCGATAAAGGATGGAGTTCGGGAATGTATGCCATATTTTACAAATATAAAGAAGGATCACTGATGGAATACGCCATTAGAAAAGAAAAGTTATTATTAGATATGGATGAAAATATTGGCGGGAAAAGTCTGGTCACACTTATAGCAGCCGGATTACCTGAATTTATTAGAAACAGAATTGATCCTGAAAAGTGTGAAACCTCAACAAGATTGCTTCATGAAATAAGTAAATGTGAAAGTTTGGTAAATAATAAAAACTTCAAAATAAAAAAGGAAGAAAAAGATGACAATAAGAAATACAGTTTAGGAAAAAAACCATGCAAAACCTGTCAGTATTTAAATAAGGGTAATCGATACCACCCAGAACAGTCTTGTTGGTTTAAAAAAGAAGGGGCAGATAACAAAAGGATTGGAAGTAATTCGGTTATAGAAGTAAATCTAAGCGAAGAGACAAAAAACGAGTAATCACACCATTGATAAAAATAAATATGTTATTAGAAGACAAAATACAAATAAATGGAATATATGATTCAGGCTCACAAGTGTCTCTGATAAACAAAAGGTTAGTTAGAACACAGAATGATTCTGTGGATACAAATAGAATATTATTAAGAACTGTCAATGGTGTGACATACACAAAAGGTTTAATAAGAATAAAAGTAAAGATTTTTGATATAGAAGAATATGTTGATGTTTTTATTGTAGACAAACTGGATTTTGAAGATTTCATTATAGGACTAGATATGATAAAAAAATTTAAATTAGCTCAAAATGAAGATTTAAAAAATAAATCGAGAGGCCAGGATAAATACGGATTAATGTCACATCTGGGACCAGCCGAAAAACCATTTCAGATAATGTCGATAGATACCATTGGTGGCTTTGGAGGACAAAGATCAACAAAGAAATACCTACATTTGTTAGTTGATCATTTTACAAGATTTGCGTTCATTCTGACATCAAAAACGCAAAATGCTTCAGATTTCATCAAGTTAGTAAAAAAAGTTCTGGAGACGGAAAACATTGAGATATTACTAGCAGATCAGTAACCAGGATTAAATTCAAAAGAATTCAAAGAATTTTTGACAGATAATGATGTAAAACTAATATTTACTGCGGTAGATACACCATTTTCAAACGGACTCAACGAAAGATTGAACCAAACACTGGTTAACAAAATGAGGTGCAAAATAAATCAGAAGAATGAAAAGAAATCCTGGACGTCAATTGCAAGAGAATGTATAGATAAGTATAATGAAACCGAGCACACAGTGACAGGCTTTGCACCAGTATATCTATTAGAAGGAAAAGTCACCAGTATTTTGCCACAAGAACTACGACAACCATTAGATACAGAAACATGGGTTCAAAATAGACAACAAGCACTTGAAAGATCAATTAGATCACATGCATATAATAAGAAATTATTTGATAAAGGCAGAACACAATGGGAATTCAACATAGGAGAACTGGTATATGTTGAAAACGGAAACAAATTAAATAGGAAGAAAATGGACAATTTAAGAATCGGCCCATTTGAAATAACAGACAAAATATCGAATACAATATACAAAATAAACACAGGCAGAACAAAAACTAATACAAGCTTATACCATATAACAAAACTTATTCGAATGGACGGTGGAATAAATGATGGATAACGCTGAATA